GGGGGGGGGGGCATCGTGTGGGGTTTCTCTTCCAAATCTAATATCATTTCTCGCGACGGCCGTGGTTGCGATGCGGGGCTGAAATATGCGATGATACGTTTTAAGTCAAACAAGCGAAATCAAACGCGGACGCGGCATAATTTCAAAACATCGAAGAGTGCTGTCGATTCCCGGGTCTTGCATTCCTCCTTCTAAGAGGGACTTACCCCGTGAGCAAATCACTGCGGAAGATAAACGCTCCATATATGCCCAACAAGAATCCCCCCAAAAATGTCATCGCATGCCTGAAATATCCATGCCTTCTGGATGATGTTCTGTATGCGTGCCTCTCATTGTGCACTGGTGATGAGGGAACCCCCCCGAAGTGATGGTCACCTGCTCCTCCATCGTCTGATAGCTTCGCGTGCCTAGCCATCCCGCTTGCGTCTTCCAAGACGGTCCAGACTGTGTGAAAAGTGTAATAGGTGGCAATGAGTGGTTTGAACGGCACAGTCCGGAGATTCAAGTAACTTCCTTTCCGCGTAGAATGTCGTGCTTTTTTGAAATTTAGCGAGAGCGTCAGACTCGGAGTCCGCTTTGTCTTTCATGTTACCATGCCCTCAACCAATACATGCACGAACCCATACCACGGCCAGGCTGGAGGACGACCACCTTTTGCAAACATGCCGGGCGGGAAACGCGACGTCCTGACTGATTTGGCCCTGGTCACAGCCGGTGCGTCGACAGGTACGTTTTGTCAGCGAAATTTGGGAGTCCACAGGGGGTGAGAGAGCAACGACGGGGGCGGGGAGAAGCTCCTTTTGCCGGGCACAAAGCGTGGGATGCTGCATCGTTGCAGCTATCTTTTGTAGATGCAAGAGTTTTAGAATAGAGTGTGAAAGCCATGTCATCTGCTCTTGGAGGACGCTCTTGAAAAAGGCGTAAACAGGCCTCATGGTCTGCCTTATCATGAAGGGGCCTCCATGTATTTCGATGGAAGTGCCAAAACTTTTGGCCAACTGAGAGATGTGGCAATTGAATTGAGGTGCAAGATGTCCTCATCTCCCTCTTTGCCTTGAATTTTTTTTCCGCCCTCTTGAAGCTATCGGAGTGTATTGGGGCCTGACCAAATTGCAGCGCCGATACTGGCGGCTGAAAGGTAAAGCAAAAGCCCGCATTCCCTCCGCGCTCTTCAAGTCCGAATGGGCTCGTGAAATTCACATCGCTACCCAGGCTGCTTTGAGCGCAGGGGTGAATTTGAAGGCTTGCTCGGAGAAAGATCCCACCAGCAAGTGTGTCTCGCACAAGGGGGAGATCGATCTGGTCACCGAGACGGACAAAGAGAACGAGCGGGAGATCGTCGCCTTACTGCGCAAACATTTTCCCTCCTACCTCGTCATTGGGGAGGAAGAGGCCTCCGACGCCGGCGCCATCCCTCCCTTGACTCGGGCGCCTACCTGGATCATCGACCCCATCGACGGCACCACCAACTTCGTGCACGGATGCCCCCTCTCCTGCGTGTCAATAGCCCTGGCCGTGGACAAGGCCGTCGTCGTTGGCGTCATTTACGATCCGTTCAAAGACGAGCTCTTCTTGGCGGCCCGGGGAAGAGGCAGTTACCTTAACGGAAAGCCGTTGCAGACCGCGGGTGGCACCCACGAGTTACACCAGGCCGTCATCATCCAAGAATTCGGGTACGAGCGGAGCGAGGCTGGGATTCGTAAGCTCCTGCAGGTCTCGGAGCGTTTGCTTCGAGGAAACGTGCAGGCCTTACGGCAATTCGGGTCAGGAGTCTTGGATTTAGCCTACGTGGCGGCAGGGCGGGTGGACGGCGTGTATTGCGGCGTGGCTGGGGATGGGTGGAAGCCCTGGGACTATGCGGCGGGCTCGTTGGTGGCGACAGAGGCGGGGGCGACCATGAGCACGCTTCAAGGACAGGAGTTTGACGTGTTCGGGTCCTCCATGGTCTGTGCAGCCAACGA